CTTCCTCCGACGGTTGTACACGCTCCTTCTCGAACCCAATTTAAAGCACTATTAGACATTTATTTATGCGAATCCTCGCGCTGGCGAGCATACTGCCCCGCGCTGAGAACATAAAGAGCAGTGCTACATCCTTTTTTCACTTGTGCCTTTCAGGCGAACGACAGCCACTGACCGACAAGAACAGAACCGACCCGGGAAACTTGGGCAAAAGCCTCGATCCTGTGTATCAATCTGTGAATCCGTGAAGCGTTCCCTTGAAAACAACCACCAAAGGTGCGTAATATTTATCAAGGTAAAAAAAACGAGTGAAAGCACACACAGCGCGTCGTTTATAAAGTGAATGCGGTGACGACATTCCGGAAATTCTGACGCCTTCTGGATGTGCCACTGGCAACTGGCACTTGACGGACACCGGACTATACTTGGCTTCGTGTCGACCTTCGGGCCAATCAGAGCTCGCATTGACGCTGGACTGCCAGGTGGCCAATGGCGTGTGAAATCGGCTTCTTGGCTGTGGCAGCGCCTGTGTGCGGTCATGTGGATTCCCTGCGGAATTCCACATAATGCGTTGGGTCTCAAAGGCCGTGTGTACGACATTCCATTCTGACGCCTTCTGGATGTGCCACTGGCAACTGGCACTTGACGGACACCGGACTATACTTGGCTTCGTGTCGACCTTCGGGCCAATCAGAGCTCGCATTGACGCTGGACTGCCAGGTGGCCAATGGCGTGTGAAATCGGCTTCTTGGCTGTGGCAGCGCCTGTGTGCGGTCATGTGGATTCCCTGCGGAATTCCACATAATGCGTTGGGTCTCAAAGGCCGTGTGTAACAGACTATAGCGCGGTTATCGGACTAGACTTCGGACAGAGACTTTGAGACGTCTTCAGGTTTTGATCAGCACTCTCTCAAAATGACACGGAAACGGGTCTTCGGTGAAGTAGAACGTACTTCACTCAAAGACTGCTGGCTAGGCCGTTTGCTACACATGCGGAGTCGCCTCTGCGTAAAAGAGTCTAGACTTTTGTGCCTCTTCTGAAGTGGCGACAATCCACGGGTGGACATCATATGTCATAGCAGAAGAGGATGAACGGTGTTGCGAAAAGTTTGGATGCTGTTAGTGTTGATCACCCCCCAGGGTAGTTCCACGTGACCCTCCCTGTGCTTGCCTAAATTCAGTGAACAACACGGCTGATAATCGGTCTCAGTGGCGTCCATGCCTTCAGATTCTATTTAAATTGTCGAAAAAAATGTTGAAATTGTAAGCGCCTCGGATGTTTGTGGAAGGCTAGTCTTGAGTCTACCTTCCTGTAACACTCTTCTTTCCGTGTGGATACTTTATTCAGATGAAATAGCATTGCCGTATGACAGTGAAGCGCCAGTGTTATCTGCTCTTGCTGCTAATAATAGTGATGATGGTTTGGCATGCGCAGTACACGTCCCAACCTCCCTAACCTGATAAGTCTTATTTGTTGGTTACGCACCATGTCGATGCGTACACAACGTACCAGGTAACTTGCTGTGCTACGGAGACACCAGTACCAAAACGGTTCAAAATCCCCTTGTCGGAGGCGCCAGGTCTCGCACCCATGAAATAAGACCGCACCTACATTTATTTTGTATACGCAGTCAGATAGCTTCAGTGAAAGTCAAAAAAATAATAAATCTTTCAGCTGTAGCACCCTTTCGGTGCCTGGATTCCATGCCGCACGAGGGCTGGGATACTTCCGGGTCGCCCAAGCCTGGACAGGGGAAGTCGAGAAGCAGAGTTCGGGTTCGAACTGCGGACCTTCCGGTCAATAAATTCGCGCTCTAACCACTTGGTCATTTGGTCCACTTGGAAGTCATAAATGATGCAGGTTAGGAAAATAAGAAATACAGTGATGATAGCAAACCTGGAGAACCATATGTGGTTTTAAGCATCGGGGCTACTCATGTTTGAAAGCTTAACTTAAGTTAGTCTGTCGATACGTTTTATTTACATGAGAGAACTTTGGTCTGCAAATTGAAGATCACGTAGTTCCCCTCCAAAAACGCCTGGATCTCCAATGTGTTTTTGCGGTCTTAGTATCCCTATGACCGGTGTACATGCTTATAAAAATGAACAAGTGAGTGGATGGTGTTGGCGTCAAAAGCAGCTACGATCGCCCCTTTTTCGTTCGTGCTACCAGACGCAATGGTGGCATGCTAAACACAATCATGCGTTTCCCGATGGGACATGGCACTTTGCAACCTCAACCTTTCGGCAGAAAAAACCCGCTTTGTGTCCGAAGCTTCCCGCCGTTTAAAGGCATCATCCTGATCTGTTCTTAAAGAGTGCATCAAATTAGAGGTCTCTCTTAGAAGTGCCGATTTGCTAGTCCTTGTGACCTAAGATCGACAGGAAACTCCGAGGCAACTAGATTGCGAGCGTGTAACCAAATCAGCAGGTTACCGAAGTACTTGAAGCAATATTGATCGTCAAACATAGGAGGCCTCCGAAACGCAGTGGGATATATAGAAAGGAGACTGTCAACTCCCGATGGCTTTCCACTGGTCAAAGTTCACCACACCGGCACTTGCGGTGACAATCTAGTGTTCGAGTGAGATGGTAGTTTTTAAATGTATTGCCCAACTGGTTCCGCATCTTCTCGGAAAACCCAATTCCGTCATTCAGCGGTCTAGTACGGCAGTGAAGCGTCAGTGCCAACATTGATGTTGCTGTCATTGATGGTGATGATGATGATGATGAATGATGCAAATGTCGCTCATATCCTACGCGCATACTATGCATACGGTTGATCGGAAAATCGTCAACTGGGATGGCATGGGTTTGTGAAATCACAGGCTTTGATGGGGCTGTTTATAAGGGCAGCACCGCTCTTTTACCAGGGTTATACCCTTTTTGGCGGAAAACCTCACTTGCTTTTGAAAGTAGGCTGTAACGGATGTCAGTCGCATATGGTTGATGAAGGAATTGTAGTAGTTATGCGAATTCCAGTGGAGCTGTTTTTTATGAAATGCTTCAGGTCATCAGTTACAATCGGTGAACCTTCGTGTGCATCATTTGGTTTGTTTTTGTCACAGCGCACGCTGGTAATGAAGGGACCGCAAGTGAAGGGTGACAATGGAAGGTAGAGTGAGTTGCAGTCCGATGTTCGAGTTACTCTAAGCTTCCATCCCACCAATTGAGTTTGAACTTTCATACGGGGAACGAGACTGCTTGTCATTTGCAGTTCTTTGTCCAACACATTCAGCTGAAGAATACCATAAACGAGAGATCAGGATGGGCTTTATTTGAGTTTCCCCCGTCTAGCCTGCAACTAAGGTTTTCGCCAGTAGCAGTTGTGTTTTGAAGTACAGGGTGGATATGAACAATCCCGATCTTGGCACGAAACATCGGTGTGGTGTTTTCAAGGCGATGCGCAGGTCCTTCAATCAGTAATGTGAAATTCTATTTTCCGAGCATAATAGCTGATGACGGAAGAATGAACTTTTGTTCGGTGCTACACACTGCTGTCAAACTTTCGCGGCGCGGCGGACGAAGTTTGTACCAGAAGATCGCGGCCTATTTCCTTGCTGCAATAGGGTTTTCATCCTTTCAACGTAGACAACGTAGTCCAGTTGAATTTTTAAGCCTAGCTCCTTTTGAGAAAAATCATTGCTTTTCTGATATACCAGGTGTACCACTTGAGACATTTTTTCATTCGTGGCAAAGGAATCCGAAAGCCACAGTTTTTCGCTTGTTAGCTACCCCTCGGTTTGGACGGTTTTAGGGGGCGAGATCGACCAAGTGGTTAGAGCGCGAATTTACTGATCCGAAGCTTCGTGGTTCGAACCCAACCTCTACCTCTCGAATTCCCTCGTATAGGCTTTGGCAACCTGGCAGTATCCCAGCCCTCGTGCCTCCTTTTTGTGGCATGGTAGCTAGGAACCAAAATGGTTTGGACTTTCGACACGACATAGAATTTTGTATAGATCCAGTGACTGGGTGTGCCAAGAGACTACCGTGAAAACTGTTGAGGATGCCCTGATCAGGCTGATGCCGTACCACTGGCGGACCGCCCAGGCGCAAACAAGACTGCATAATATATCATCGATAGGCTTGGGTTATCCAGTTTCGCTATAGATGTCTTATTGTAGTTCACAGTAAGTCAGAAAAACACGCAATTAGTGACACGGGTGTATTGTGTACACGCGGCCAACTGGTCAGCTTTCATGGCAGGTGAGCAAACAACTGAGTCCATATCCAGTCGACCCACAACGCCCACGCGAACAAATCAGTCAGACACGCCCCCAGTGAGCCACTCAAGTCATACGCCAGGTCGATGGTGGAACGACGAACGGACACGCACACGCGCAAACTCTCTGAATCACCGAAGCAGCTACTACATGTCTTCAACGTACTCCCTACCTCAAATAGCAAATTACCGTCCCTAATTATAAAAAAAGTTAACTGAAATGTCAAAACCCAAACTACATTTTGAAAACGGAAAGGGGAGTCAGTGAACAGGTCTAATAGCTCAATTGCTTACTCTATCCGTGTGCTCACCGTTATCCCATCTACCCGTACTTGTTCATTGGTCTGGCTTCCAATCAATGAGACTTTTTCTGCTTTAGCTACGTGAATAAGGCCAATACGACGATCGCTTTGGATCGAGTGTTTCATCGTGTCACCAATGTGTTCAAACGGTCCAGTTTTGTTGTATGACGGTGCGTCTGTATCTTTTGTTTACCTCTGTCCTCACTTTGTAGACAGTTACAGACGCCTACAATTTGCAGATGAAAGACAAATAAAGAAAGCCATCGGAAAGTTATTCGCACTGCTCCGAGCCCATTATCTGGATGAAGCAGAGGCATTGTTGCGGAAATACGTAATTCCTCTTATGTCTTTCTGCTCACCCGGTCCTAATCAGTTTTCCTTTCCCAGGTAGTGAAGTGGTTGGTCTGATTCATTCAACTGTTTCAGGCTGATACCCTATATCGAGCCGCATTACCACGTTGATAACTTTGGTCCCCTAGTTTTACTAGGTTCCGGTGGATTCGGTTCAGTTTACAAAGTCTGTTCCAATTCTCTATTTTCTAATTTGATAGGCTGTGCACAATTTGGATAATAAGGAGTACGCGATCAAGGTTATTGATGGCATCCGTTCTCGGCATGAGATGGTGAGTTTACGCCTCTTAATTCAACGTCGTATTAGTTAAGCTTAGCAATGGATTCATTTTGTAAGCACTCTGGTGTGCAGGACAGCTTTATCTCACCAGTTCCTGTAATTCTTAGTTCTTAGCTTCCCATTAACCTTCCGTTGTGCGTATCATCGAACTTTGTTAAAACGACACTGTTCGGTTTGATGGAATGTGTGGGTGATGATGTGACTCATTCAAATTAATCTGAAGCTCTTTTTCGACCCTGTTAGTAACCTTTTACCGTTCTGAGTGAAATACAGAAACTGCGTTAGGATGTGTGAGAAAAGGAAATCAGGAGTTCATATGGAACTGAGATCATCCAACACTACTGAGTCCAGTTAGGGGAATGAGGAAAGCCCCTCATACTTACTTAGTAGTGAGGTGCTGCAACCCTAGCCATCGAAGCAGCGCACCCGTTTAAAATCGGTGTGGTCACCTGATCCCATCTGTCCCCATCTTTGTCACCAGCCATGTAGTGACAGTCTTGTTCCGCTTCTTTCAAAACATCGACGCGAGTAGGCTCCTTTTACATCGCTGACTAAGAACTGCTGCTTACAGGAGCGCTAGTAGGACGATGAAGTTCAGGTAGGTTGTTTGTCTTTTAATGGGGGCGAGATGGTTCAAATGGTTAGAGCGCGAATTTACTAACCAGAAGGTACATGGTTTGAATCCGACCTCTGCCTCTCGACTTCCTCTGTCTAGGCTTGGGCAACCTGGCAGGATCCAATCCCTTGTGCTTCCTTCGTGTGGCATGACAGCTAGGTACCGAAAGTGCGCTACAGCTGGACCATTTTTTATTTCCTGTTTTTAAATGTCAAAGCAAATATACGTGGTGGTATAACATTACTCTGTATAATTTAATTTTTTTTTAGGACTGGTGCAAGTTAGACATCTCAGCCGACGTTTTTGAAAGATTTCAATAATGGAATTGATTATGCCCCTTTCATTCAATTGATGTGAGGTTTTCGTATCCATAAGTTGCACAATAGCGAGACTAGTTAGCGATACTGATACTTTATGGCTTTTGGCTTGCCTGTTCCTCATGTCTCGTCGTGTGCGGAACTTCACCCTACAACTCTTCACTGGAGTCATGGAGGCGTACACACTCCCATCCATCGCTTTTTCCCTTCATTAGGCTGAATCATTCCAACAGAATTTCAGCATTGTGTTGTATGACCGTAACTTCTAGACCAAGATAAATGTGAGGAATCTAGTGTGTGAAGCATGGGGATAGCGGCTTGGTTGAAAAAAGTGGTATGACTAGACTTGTAATGGGAAATAGCTCAGGTAATTTTTTACTGACAACCCGCGTAACGAGAGTATAGTGCATTGAATTATTGGTTGTCTACTGAGCCATGGTGTCGATGTTGATGTTGAGCTGTAAACTGTGCTCCAAGTTTGGTGGTTGTGGTTGATTGTAAACCGTATCCCAGTTAAATGTAACTTTTTACTCTCTTATAGGTGTTTTCATTCCGTCCAAACATGCTCTGCTGTGCTGACGTATTGCGCAGTTGTGGCGTTGGTCCTCTTAAGTATCATTACCTCTACACATTATTGGAGCAACAGTCGTCTCATCTGTTCCTCATGCTGGACAGATGTATTTTAAGGCCCCTTTTACCATTTGGTCTTGACGTTACTCTGATTAATACCACTCGTCAAGTTGTCGGAGGCATCTATCCTTCAATTGCTTGGGTCGGTTGTTACAGAACACAGCGATTCTCGCCTCATTTTGAAATTCCCTTCATTTCTCTGTCCTTCCAAATTATTCTTTTTTTTAAAGTGTTACTGGTTGGATTGTCAGCAGAGTGCCCGGACTTCCTTGACGTCCAACTGCTACACACTGTCCCCATGTTGGTCATTCCACCTATATTAGTTTAGTTTGGGTATCGAATTTTCACTGCGTGTTTCATTTTTCAACCGCACCGTTCAGTTAGGCGGGGTACTGCTGGCACCTCAAGAAAAACAATGGATGGTAACGCATTGCAACACTTCAGCTCGTGACAGTTTTATGAACCTTTATTACATTCATATCGTAATTGTCTGACAATCTGTTTCACCACAATTACCGCGCTACGTTTTTAAACTGCTGTACAGTGATTCACCTCCCCAAATCGACTATTGACGGAACCAGTCTAAAATGGTCAGTCCAGAACGAACATCACAACTTTCAACGCAGGGCTACATTTGCCATAGGCTATTAGAGAATCCATTATGAATCTAATAGAGGTTGGCGAGACCGTCCAAAAGCTGCCCAAATAGGGGTATTTAAAACCTACCGGACCGTTGATCCTCATTTCTCTAGTCCTTCCCGTAATCTGAAGATTAACATAGGGGACAATGACACCGATTTCTTTTCCAGCCATTGGTAGCCATACTTTATGTGACTGAAGTACACAAGGTGGGTTGCTGCGCAGTACGAATCTTATTCACGATAACTAGAATCCTGACAATTCGAAAAGCCTCAAATGTCTGTCCAGGAAGTTGCAAGTGTTTTTGCTTGATAAATGTAAGTAAGACTCCTGACGTGTGTGTTGGAGTCGGCATCAGATACGTTATAGACAGTGCTGACCTTATCTAGAGGTCATGAGAGTCCAGGTAAGACCGAATTAGTGTGCTAATTCCGTCCACCTTGGGTTCAATTAGAACGTAAGGCTGACGGAAACTCGGAGACTGCGTCTACCTGGTAAGCCTCAAGAAGAACGCCGTGGGCTATCGAAAGGTTTTCGGCAACCTTGTGAACAGCGCGTTATGCTTAGACAATGTACCAAATTAAACATAAGGTGACCTGATGCACCATTTTCACTTGGAGAAGACCATCATAAACGAGCTTCAACTGGATTTAGTTGGGTCCCCCGTTAAAACCAAATTCGTGTGGAAACGAGGATATTTGGTAGCTCTCTGGCTTTTTAAGTATTAGTGTTGCTCAGTGTTTTGGATGCAATGTTCCCCTCCTTGGATTCCGCCTTTTTGTTATTTGTTTGTTATCTCTTACGTTTTGCAGGAGCTCGCGAGATCTGAAGTTTGTTTGATGGCTCGCCTCAGTCATGAGAATATAATTCAGTACGTCACTTCATGGATTGAGTATGGATTTGTCCCACCTGCTCAAGTGAGTACAGATTTAGCAGACTCGCCGTTAGTTTCAATTGGCTTCTGTTAGTTCCCACTTGTCCAATTAGTTCAGTTAGTCGTGATGCATAACATCTTAATATTAGTCCTCTCCGACACACAAGAAATGTTGTCCGTTAGTTTGCACCAGTAAAAAGTTCATTCTATGGTTACATTCTGGATCCGTGCACTTTCAAACAAAAACCATAACAGGGAAAGTCCGTTTGGCGTGTGTACTACTTTGGTGAGATGTAAACCAATCTAATGAGCGGCATACTCCGTTTGGGGTGGCACCACATCATAGCTCCGCGACTGATGAAGTGATGTTATGATCTTTTTCTGATTCTTTCCTTCAAAGACCATCCTCCATAAGAGGGTTATTCGTCTTAACAACGAACTATCACTGTAAGAGATGCCACTGGGTTTTGTTTCCTCGAACAGGTACTGTGCGGTTAGGATGGTTCCTTCTTTGGGTGGCGTTTTGTTTGTGGGGTCGCTAGTCTTTTTCTATGTTTAAAACGCCAGCTCATTTCAGTCTCAGCTGTTTAACCAGTATTTTGACCTGATGCCTCATGTGTTTTACGACTAGTCGGAGACAATTTGAATTGTCTGACCAGATTGGAGAGGATTTTTTGCCAACTGGACCGCATCGATTGTGCTGGTAACGGAAACGAGCGACACTATTCTCGTTTCTGATGCTTACTGTACGGGACTAAATGATGAGCCCGACTCCTCTCATGATCTCTTATCATTTTCTTGCCTTTTTAGCAAGATAAATGTTCGTACAATGAATCACAACCCGAAATTCTTATTCACAGGCCGGCCAATCTGTTTGCTAGCTAAGTTTGCTGTACCTCAGCCTTTATATATGTGAGACAGCTGTCGATCCTTTCAATGAGTCGCATTAATCAGCGTAAGCCTTTTTCTGCTGATGCCGCTGATACCCTAGAGACCGTATTAGAGGCCTGTCAGAAGATGAACCTCCTCCAAGCACTCCTTGCATGTGGTTGTGAGGCGACCAGAAGTAAGGGTAGTCAGACCCAGAGCTGAAGTCGTACGACGTTTGTTGGGTGTTCAGTCTGGAAAGAGACGTGTTGTAAAGATGCGGCCAACTACACGGGTTGTTTTGTATGTCCCTCGACCCCATAATCCCACGTACAACTGCGCCTCCTAGTCACTTGTCGTGCGGTTATTTGCCCTGCGCCCTTTCGGTTGTTCGAACTTCGTTTTTTAAATACGATCGTTGCAATCGCACGTGTATACATGTGTTAACCTAACTCGTACCCTCCTAACTTATATTCATCCATCCATATTCATCTCAGTTATCCCTCACATCGAACAAGTTGTTTGGAATAAATAACAATGCTGTAGGGATTGAAGTGTTCTATGTTTCATCCCACTTGTAATGTTACGGCTGCTGCTTGCAGTCCAGCTACCATTTTCTCGTAAACATCTATTGGTTCGAAAAGAATCACTCACGGACTTTTCCCTTATCATCGCTTTCGTAGACATAAACCTCCGAGATACCTGGTTAATTATCTTCAGTCATTCCAGGTTATGCATAATCATTTTTTATACCAAATACTTTCCTCTTGATATTTCACAAGTTTGAATTAAGTGGAAAACCTTGTTTATCTTGATAGGTGTGGGCAAACGTGGCTCCAGCGGCACACAAACCGTACAGATTTTATTGCGAAGCCTTTTATTGTTTCAGAAATTAGTTAGAAATCAATTCTCTCCGGGCTTTATTCGGTTTCTGTGTTTTGTCTTCTTTTGAGCAGGAGGACGACCAACCGATGCCTGACCTTGGTTCACGGTAAGTGTCAGTCACTGATGGCTACAGTGCAACCCTTTGATAAGTGATCCAGAGGTGGGGTGTCGCTAGACTGTTGATATACATCCAACTATCCAACGCAGCTAATGCATTTATGCTACACGCACTGCATGTCGTGAAACGCAGAATTATGCGAAATCAGTTTAGTGATTTTCCACATGATCAAACATTTGTCTTTTGTTTTTTTAAGGATGGCCTTGTGCTCGGTAACATCTATCTCATATAGTCATACCAAGTCTGAAAGCCTGGTAGAAATTGTTGTGTAAAGTCTTTGGAGCCCCCCACCGCTTCAGCACATGACTTATAGACACTCAGAAGTGTCGTTTCCGCACGTATTCTGTACATAATCATCATCATCATCATCATCATCATCATCATCATCATCATCATCATCATCATCATCATCATCATCGACAGCATGGCATTAGTGTTCAACACCGATGCTTCACTGCCCTACAAACATGATTTAGTTGAAAGTCTTATTGTGAAGAAAAGAATAAAGGTGGACAGGGAAGGGTTTTAGTGCTAGCGTACTACAATCATTCCGAGGTGCCTACGCCTCCTGATACTCAGGCAAACTGGTTAGAAACTGACAGGAAGAACGCCAATAATACTGGTTAGTAATGTCTCCAACCAGACGCATTGGGGATCACCCCCACCTGGAAGGCGAGTAGCACCGACAACACCCTCCAACCAGATTGGGGATCATCCCCACCTGGAAGGCGAGTAGCACCGACAACACCAAAGCGTTTCGTAATCTCCTTCGTACACTCCTGCCTGCCCAAGGTTTGGCGACCTCTCTGCTTCTACCACTCTGAATTGGGCATGGAAAACAGCATTTTCTTCGGCAAACGATGGATGGACATACGCAACGTATGTCCCAACCAAGGCAATTAATGGTGCTGGACACAGTCCTCAATTGAAGTTCCTGTTGCACAGCTGAAAGTCGCCTCGTTACAGGTTCGCCGACACCAACCCACAGGGGCTATGGTTCTGAGACAACGACTGTTGAACACCTGAAAACGTCTCAGTTCCGCTGCTCGAACAAGCCAAGTCTCACACATACACAACAAAACAGCTCGCACTGTAGCTTGATACACACGTCCCTTGAGATTCAGGGATACACCACTTTGACGTTGTGGATGT